TATACAGGACAGCCCTCCACACGAAAGAATGATCCAGAGTGGCAACAGAAATGGAGGGAATTTACAGAGGGGAAATGACTTGTCAACTTGGTGAAGCCCTGCATATGTAACAGACAAATTAGGTGGGTGAAGTTGAATGCCATTCTAAGTCCAAGTAATTGATAGAGAAAAGTTGTAATGGAAAACCAGTCTGGACAGGAGTAAGTATACTGAGTTTGAGATAAAGTCACAGCCTCAGAATATATTGAGTCCATGTTGTCACATTTTCTATAAATACAAATGGCAGAAGTAATCTTAATATATATGATTTAAAAGTTGAAATTAACTATAGCCATATCCTTATCCCCAGTTGCCATCAAAGAACTGAATCTGGATGTGAGGCTCTGAAGGTGAAAGCAAGAAACTATCAGCAGCTTGGAGTCCTTCATAAAAATGTCTGGGTTGGTGGGGAGAGGGTAGTGTTTATAACAGTTGTATCTTGTATAAATATTTTAAGTTTGAAAAATCAGTTTCTTTTTACAGTTATTTTTCCAAGTTGAGTGTGATATATTTTTCATGTGTTACATCTCTGTAGGGGTGTGTGTGTGTGTGTGTGTGTGTGTGTGTGTGTGTGTGTGTATGTATGAATTAGTAAAAAGAATCCTGCTTAGGCTCAGCCTGTACATATGAATTTCTCTTTTTGGTACTTCACTTACCAGATTTTAGTTGGTCTACTCTGCAACCTTAGCTGCTGCCTATTATGATGACTCTTTGGCATTGGAGTCTCAAATCTTTTTTGGTTTCTGAAGGAAAAAATGAAATTATATTCGGTATGTTTAGTTTCACATATTCAGAATTAGATAATCTTGGAGTTGGAGGAGAAACTCCCTCATTGAGTCCATTGGAATCATCCCGTATTTGATTCCTCCTGTGTTAGTCTCTAAGGCTACTGCCAGTTACTACAAACTTGATGACTTAAAGCAGCAGGAGTTTATTCTCACACAGTTCTGGAGGCCAGAAGTCCAAAACTGAGGCATCATGAGGGCCACACTCCTTTCTTTATCCTTTCCAGTTTCTGGTGGCTCCAGGCATTGCCTGGCTTGTGGCTGCACAAGCTCTGCCTTTATCTGCACTCGACCTCTTTTCCCTTTGTCTCTCCTCTGTGTTTCCTTATTACGATACTTACTAGATTTAGGGCCCATCTGAATAATCAAAAACGATCTCAACCCAAGATCCTTAACTATTTTAGACCTTTTCATCAAATAAGGTCACTTTCACATATCCCAGGGATTAGAATATGGACATAGGTTTTTTGGAGGCCACCATATAACCCGCTACATCCACTGAATACATGTCCATTGCTTGTGTTTGTCGCCCTTCTCTGCTTGGCTGCCTCTAACCAAGATCTTTAGGATTTTGAATAACTTTGTAGTGAAATCAATCTCCTGTAATGTATATACCATCCACTTTGGTTCTCCCTGCTTGAAGCCATGCAGAACAAACAGAATTCTTTTTCTCTCTGAAAGTCCTTCATTTGTTGTCCCTGAGACTTCTGTCCTCCAGACCGGGCACCTCTGGTTCCTTCAACAATTTCCCTCAATATTGACTCCTGTTCCCCTAATCATCCTGGATGTGCTTCTCTAAAGCATTCAGAGGCAATAGAGAGAATACTGAATTTATTATTGAAGACCTAATACTGAGGCCACTTACTATGTCTCTTCGACTTACTAATTAGGTGACCAAGGCAAATCAGTTTATTTTAAATAACAATAATACTGACTATTTTATTATTTTGCTACATACTTTTATAGTCAAATGAGATTGTTATAAACGTTCTTTAGAAGCGGCACCTTTAAGTAAGGATGCAGGTGTTTTTCTGTCTATTTGTAAAATACTTTCACTCCCAGAACTGAACATAGGTCTCTTGGTACAGTCTAAACTGGTACAAAGTAGTTGTCACTGTCACGTTCCCTAGCTGAGCTGCTCTGCTTCTGTTACCACAGCCCGGGATTGCATTCACTTTTTTGGTTGTCATCTCACAATTCTTAACTCATATTGAAATTGTTCTGTACTAGAGAGTTCCAAATCATTTTCACAAATAACTTTTTAAGAAAAATTCAATAAATACTTATTGAGTTTCTGCTAGTAGCAGTGCTAGGCACTTGACAGAGAGGCAAATAGGAACAAAATAAAACCTGTTTCTGTCCAGGTATGGTGGCTCACGCCTTCAATCCCAATACTTTGGGAGGCTGAGGCAGGCAAATCACGAGGTCAAGACATGGAGACCGTCCTGGCCAACATGGTGAAACCCCTAAAAATACAAAAAGTAGCTGGGCATGGTGGTGCACACCTGTAATCTCAGCTGCTGGGAGGCTGAGGCAGAAGAATTGCTTGAACCTGGGAGGCGAAGGTTGCAGTGAGCCAAGATCGTGCCACTGTACTCCAGTCTGGCAACAGAGCGAGACTCTGTCACAAAAAAAAGGAAAACTTGTTTCTGCCCTCTTGAAGCCTACGATATCATACGAGAGACACACATGAACCAAGTAATCACACAGTGGGTGTAAATTTACAATCTGAGACAGACTGGAAAAAGAAAGGGTTGCAAACTGACCTAAGCCAATTTGATAGTTCACAATGATACAACTGTTTGCAGTAGATAAAGGTGGGCTCTGATGATTAAGATTGGAGGTATGCAGATCTCCCCACTAACCTTCTCACCACCAGGTGTTATTTATAGTGACAGCCTCAGATGGAATTCTGTCACACATGCAATCTATTTATTGCTTTCTAATTCAGTGATTTTTCTACCATTTATAGAAAGAGCCACAAGGTATGGTTCAAATAAGGCACTGCAAAGACAGTAGAGTCAGTGAATTTTCAGTTTCAAAATTTAACTTAATTTGAAAATAATTTAGTATTAGCCATTTTAATTAAATATAACACTCAATTGCATTGACTCTTCATAGGAAATATATAATTCATCCTCTAGTTAATAAGAGTCCTCTTTGTGGTGTTATGGACCTGCTTCTGGTTTACTCTAATGACCACATTTTTATCTAAAGCTTCCACAGCTTGCTAATGTAATTCTCCAACTATATTGAAATGAAATTTCTTTGGTTTATATCTTATGTCCTGATGATAATAGGTTTTACCCTTTAAAATGGATTCCATTTTTCAAGATTGGTGGATCTATAAATTCATGTACTTCTGCAAAGTAAGATGAACATGTGATAGTTATAAGCTATTATACTATTCAACTTCAAGTGACCTATTAAGAATTTGAAAGCAATTTAAAATGTAAATTCTGTCCTAATATTTGATCTGTCTTTGCATTGCCTTATTTGAATCATACCTTCTGGCTTTTTCTATAAATAAGTCCCACTGAAGTCATAATAAAGTCCAGTGTTGTGAAATCAATTTTTTAGGAATGTTGTAGCTTGATTTTCAATGTATGCTGTTCTCAGTTTACTCTTGTAACATATAAAACCGTTTCTAGATTTATACCTTGAAAATGGAGATAGCTATGAGTTGGAGAGCTGTTCAGTTAGTCTACATATGAAGCTTACAGAATAACAGCTACACAGCACAAAGGTTTAGGACTATAGTAGATTTCTCTAAAGTTGCCCCGTTAGATATTTGCAAATGTGTCCTTTCTTTGCAGGCTACCCCATCTGAATTTGAATGATTCCCAGACATCTTGCAAAAGCCTGGTGTTGCACTTTGCTTATACTGAATTTGCTATGCTGTCATTTTTATGCATCTCAATTTGAGGCCAAACCACATGTCCTAGTTTATTTTTTACTGTTTCAATTAAATATAAAGCTCTGTCTTCTTGATGGGTGTGTGAAGCATTTGGTGTTCCTTTAGTAGAGAATAAATACAGTTCATGACCTTGCTCACTCCCCAGTGCCTATCATTTTATAGCGTAACAGATTTACCTTTTGGATATTATATAGCCAGCAACTCCTGAGAATTTAATATAAAGGCTTTAAATTCTATTTCCTTTATTTTATTTTCCCTAGAAAATAATTTCCACCAGGCTTTATAGAATATATCTTTTCCTCAGGCAATTAAAAGAAAATTGAAATTAAGACTAGTAATTGTCACCTATCATTCATTTCAATAAGATTATTTTATTCTTGAGAATAACTGTATATCATGAAACTAAGGAAGATGAAGTTTTCTTCTAGACCCTAAGTACTAATTGATCTGTTTGTAAAGAAATCTATATCAGTTGCTAAAATTTTTGCTTGGTCTTGAGAATCAGAAAACAATGACTGGCCTATAAGTATGCTCTAACCTTTTCTTCTTCATTTTCAGGTATAAAGAAGGGGACTAGTGAGGGGAGTTACTCTCTAGAATAACTCATTATCTTTCTGAAGATCCAGATGGCATGCCTTTGTTGCTCTAGTGAGGCAGGTTAAAATGGAAGGTCATGTATGAGAGCTTTATGGCACAAGTACATTGCCTTAGAGAAGTTGCATCCAAGTAGTCATCTCCGTAAATATGAATGAATGTTTTAATGAATATTGGCTCCTGTTAGCACTGTTGATTTCACTGGCCATCTTAAAAGAAACAGAAATCTTATATATTGTTTCTAAGTCTGATTTTTTTTTTACCCTTCCTAATCTTCCTCTCCCCTTTAGTAGAAGTTGAGATGTCAGGTCCAAGATATTGAAGGGAAAACATTCTATGATCTTAATCTTAGCCAAGGTGGCCAGTTTATGATATGTAAATAGGAACCAGTGGCCTCAACTCCTTGGGGTGGGTGGGTCACTTTCTTAAACATTAGTTCCTTGTTCTGTGACCTATTCACTTTTTCTTTTGAAAGAAGGCATCCGTTATTCTGACTTAATTAATATTAGGAGAGGTTAGTAGATTGCAATGACTATAACTAGGTGATTTAGTCCAATTCTTCAGATGTTTTTGTTGTATCTAAGAAACGCTGGCCTCTGTTGACAACTTGGAGGTTGTGGTTACTCAGTTTTTGAAAATTTCTGATCCTTCTTTACCTTTCTTAGGTTTCCACTGTATCCAAAAGGAGGGGAGAAGTTGCAATTTGATTATGGTGTCTATCTTCTGAACAAAAATATAGCACAGGTAAGTCTCTACTCTTCACTTCTCTCCTACTTCCCATGTACAGCCTATTTCCTTAGATTGCCAATTTTTTTTCTTTGTAAATATGTACTGAGGTTGACAATTTGATTTAACCAGTTATGTTCATAATACATGGTTCTTTTTTGACCACAGTCTTTTTCCTTGGCCTTAACATGACTACAGAGAAGCAATGAATACAAATTGGAATTCTCCTGCTAAACTCAGAATCTCTGTGTTTTTACTTGCTGGTAGACTATACTTGGATGTGTGGGCTTCATAATCTCTTGCCTCTGCAGCTTGACCAACTGTAATTTTATTTTCTTAGACTATTTCTAGGGACCCATTTTGCATTGTTGTTTATGGAGTAAAAGTTCAGTGCCTTTGCAAGTACTTCATGGTCTCCTCACTTTATTATTCAGTCTGTCTTGGATTTCTGTGGCACTCTCTTTTTTTTTTTGAGACGGAGTTTCGCTATTGCTACCCAGACTAGAGTGCAATGGCACGATCTCGGCTCACCGCAACCTCTGCCTTCTGGGTTTAAGCAATTCTCCTGCCTCAGCCTCCTGAGTAGCTGGGACTACAGACGTGCTCCACCACGCCCAACTAATTTTTGTATTTTTAGTAGAGACGGGGTTTCACCTTGTTGACCAGGATGGTCTCGATCTCTTGACCTCGTGATCCACCCGCCTCGACCTCCCAAAGTGCTGGGATTATAGGCGTGAGCCACCGCGCCCGGCCAGATTTCTGTGGCACTCTCAACATCACATCAGTTAGTATCCCACTTGAATAACATCTTGCCACATGCCGTAGTAAGACTATCAGATGCGTGGGTTTGTATTTTCCTGAAAGAAATATGTAGCATTTCTTTAGCACTTTTGGCTCTCCTTGAAGATGTAAGTTTTCTAGTTACAAAGGAAGACAAGCTTCCTTTGTTTATTTTTATAAATAAGTGCTTTGTTTGTTTTCATTGGACATCCTTCCAATTGGAATATCACATGATGAGTGTCCACAATTTGGCTGTTACTTAAAGACATCATGAGCTGTATCCTCAGACCTTTTGGTTTTACTGAAGTAATAAGATTTGCGATGCTTTCGTTTTTATGAGCCATTTATCCACATGACTCTACAGACTTGCTGAACATTCTCTTATTAATTTCTGATCAGTCTAGACTTATTCCTCTATGTAGTGTCAGCTGCCATTCTTCCCCTCAACCAACCTCAGTTTAATGGTGGGGATTTTTTAATTTATTTTTTATTGAAATTGTTATCCTTTTCTGAAATTGAGTCAGATTTCTGGATTGTAATCCTCAATTTATCATTTGCTTCATCCCTCACACTCATTGCCCTCTCGACCATACTACGTTTACTGTTACTTCCACTCCAGCTCCAGGAAAGCGGCCCTCTGACAGTCTCTGGCTCATGACTCACCTTTCCATATACCATTCTTCCAACAACCAGTGCTTGACCACTCTCCATTTTTGGCAGACAAGTATTTCAGTCAAAGAAGCGGGACTTTAATTCCAAGCCTGCCTAGATCCCATTCTGCTGAACACAGTTCTGTCATACCATGGAAAACACAGTGATTAGACAGAACTGGTCAAAAGTGCTCAGACTAAGGCCGGGTAGGTGGCTCATGCCTGTAATCCCAGCTCTTTGGGAGGCCGAAGTGGGTGGATTCGCTTGTGGCCAGGAGTTCGAGACCAGCCTGGGAAACATGGCAAAACCCCATCTCTACTAAAAAATACAAAAGTTAGCCAGGCGTGGTGGCATGTGCCTGTAATCCCAGCTACTTGGAAAGCTGAGGCATGAGAATCTCTTGAACCCAGCAGGCAGAGGTTGCAGTGAGCTGAGATTGTGCCACTGCACTCCAGCATGGGTGACAGAGCAAGACTCTTTTCCAAAAAAAAGTGCTCAGACTAAGACTGCACTAATGAAGAAGTAAATTGGAGATCCCCTCCAGCGAAGTCAGCCGGAGGTGAAAAGAGCACACGGTTACTACAGGATTGAGAGTTTGAGGGTAAAATTGACATCATTTAGTAGAAACAAGTTCTGATTTGAGTTCAGAATTTCTTTTCTTGCCCCTGGGCACATAGGTCCTAAGGTCAGAAGGCTGTGGGAAGCTTCATGGTGAAACTTGCTCCTGCTGAAATGCCTGGATTTCCTCATATATCCCAGCTTCGAAAATACACACAATGTGCACATGGGTACAGATGTGCACACACACTTCTTTCTTCTCAAGGGCCCAAAATGATGGTATACCAAAGGATGGTATAAAGTATTGCTAAGAATACTACAGCTTACTTTGAGAGCAAGACCAAGATGGAGGCTGTGTGCAGCAGAAAACTTAGCAAAGTCAGCTCTCCATATCAGACTCTTAACTCTAGGACCTGCTTGGTTCCTACTTCCCAAGAGGCCTCTGACTTTATTGTTAACTGAACCAAGGCCCCAAGTATGCTGACCTAGTTTTACTCATTTGAGAAATGGATTGCTTTTAGTAACTGTGTATCTTCTCCAGCTTTATATATACTCTTTGAAAAATTGAAAGAAAGAGAGAGAAAACACCTGGAGACAGAGAGAAAAACACAATCAATAGATTAACTACTCTGAATCCATAGGGAGCAAGTATCTTCCTCTCTGGCTTTTCTTTTTTTAATCACACTAGAGGCAGTTTTAAAAGGAAGGGACAGCAAACGTCTTTAAAACGGCTTTTTTATATTTCAGAATTTATTCAGCGAGCCCTTTTAAAGCAGTTAGAAACTTTTAGAACAGTTGTGCCCTTTCACTTTTTTTTTTGCTTCAGCTCTGTCTATTTCATCTCTCGCTGCTTCTCGGGGAAGCTTTCATTTTGTCTTTGACCTTACTGCCATCACATTTTCACATTTTGATTTGTAACAAATCAAAGAACCATTCATTATTATGGCTTCTAACCAAGCATTATAGCAATCAGATATTTCCAGCTTTTGAAGGTTTATTTTTATAGACATGTAGACTAATACGCGTTGTCAAAGAGGAGTTTGTCTTCTCAGCCAGTCTCATATGTACCCCATCTCTCAAGATGTGAACAAATCATACTATTAAAATGGCCTCACCTCAGTAATTTATAAGCCACATTAGTGGAGGTGGATGAAAGCACTGGCATGTGTTAAAGTGCCAGAGCAAAAGGAGTGAAGTCATTTAATACTACATCCATAACTTGGTTGAGGATTTGAATAGTCAATAGGACCTTTCATCACAACCAGAAGTAGTAGTAAAATCACTTTTTTGGTAGAGGAAATGACAGAATTTAGTAATATTTGTTACTTCAGTATTTGGGATCAGTCCAGCCCAAGTTTTAAAAGCACGAGCTTAGAAAGACAGGCCTTCAAGTAGAAATCCTCAAGTGTTGTTTGAAGAGCTGAGAGCACTGGTGAGGCCTGCTTGCCCTCTTCATGTCACTGCTGTCTAAAGGTGTGTGTGTGTGCTGGATTAAGTACTGTGAGTGAGTGAAGCAAAATGCCTTGTTTTCAGCACCATTTATTAATATTTGTCAAGTGCCAGCCTCTTCGGTTAGAAATAGCCTGCCTTGTTGGCCAACATGTAATGCTATAGGAATGGGCCTGTCAAAATTCAGGTGCAGTATAATTGACGTTGACTTTAAAAACCAGATCCTGTCATAATTTCAGTTAGTTCATGAGTACATTATATTAGAATTTGTGTAGAGAACAGAAGTTCACTTTTAATTCTCAGAACATAAAAATTAAATGTAAAACAGAAATTATAATACTTTTACCTTACATTTGTGGAGAGCCTTATGGTTTGTAAAGTACATGCATATATATTCACATGACCCCCATCATCACCCTGCAAAGTAAAAAGGGCAGATACTACTAAGTGGATTTGAGGACAGCTCAGCTTTTGACATCTGTCCCTCCAGTGTAGTATCACCTAATTTGATAGGTGTGGTAGAGATCCCCTTACTTCTATACACTTCACTGTTCTATATATTTCTATCCTAAAAGTGCACCAAATCAAAGAAGATGGTATTACCAGATGGAAAAGGAAGCAAACATTTTTTGAGAATGGAGACAATAACTATTTTGCACATCATATTTCCGTTAGCAAGCACAATGCCAGAAACATTGTAAGTTCTAAAGAAATTAATAATACATGATAGGTGATAAAACACCATTACACAAGTTAAGAAACTAAGATCTAGAAAAGTTAAGTGACTTTAATAAATTTAAAAAATTGTGACACACACACACACACGGAATATTATTCAGCCTTTGAAAAGGACATACTGCCATTTGTGACAACGCAAATGAACCTGGAGGACATTATGCTAAGTGAAATAAGCCAGACACTGAAAGACAAAGACTGTGTGATCTCAATCATATGCAGAATCTTAAATGTAAAAGTTGAATAAACAGAACAGAGAGTAGGATGGTGATTTAGTGGGAGAAGGGGGAGGAAACAGGAAGAGTAGGTTAAACGGTATACAGATTTGCAGTTAGGTAGACTGCATAAGTCTGGAGATGTAATATACCAAATGAGGATTACAGTTAGTAATATTGTATCTTGTACTGAAAATTTGTGAAGAGAGTAGATTTCTATAGTTTTTATCACACACACCCGTGAATATGTTAGTTTGTTTGACTGCTGTAATCATTTCACTATGTGTGTGTATGCCAAAACATCATGTATACCTTAAAACATGTTGTACCCCTTTTATGAATTTATTACATTTATAAAATATAAAATTTTTTTTAAGTTAGGTGACTTGCTTGAAATTCATTAGTTTATTCAACAGTATTTGTTGAGCATGTACCACATGCTGTGGACACTGAGTTAGGTTGCAGTGGTAGAGCAGTGAATAAGATACACAAACTCCCTGATTCCTGCCTCCTTAATAAGCTAGACACAAAAGGACAAATATTGTAGCATTCCATTTATGTAAATATCAATGAAAGGCAAACTCATAGAGTCAGAAAGCCAGATTAGAGGGCTGGGGGAGTGGGAGAGCT